ATGTCTGGGTTCAGGGTAGGGGATTTGGTGTTGAGTAGGGTGCTGAAGAATCTGGCCCACCGCACACTGTTCCGGAGCAACACGCCGTTCTCATCCGCGACGAACTGCTGTCCCCCCGCTCGTCTCCCGCTGAGGCCCACTGATCTCTTGAGGTGTTGGTANGAATCTCGCCCACCGCTGGAGGATGTCGTCCCTGTTCCGGAGCAACACGCCGTTCTCATCCGCGACGAACTGCTGTCCCCCCGCTCGTCTCCCGCTGAGGCCCACTGATCTCTTGAGGTGTTGGTACAGTCCTAGCATGTCGCGATCTTTGTAGATTTCACCGAGCTCAGTCACATATCCGTCCAGGTGGGCATAAATGCTCGTTTCGACTGCTGTAGCCACTCCCTTACACGCTGCTTTGAGAACCCTTCACGTCGCTGAGTTCCAGTTGCCCCTCATCGCCCGGCGCGCTGCCCGACGTTTGGTAAGGGCCTTCTCCAGCGCTGCTCGCGTCTCTAGGGTCTCACACCACTCCTGCGTGCGGCGTCTCCGCGGTCCCTCCCCCAGGGTCGTCCGCGCTGCGTCGAGGAGAGCATTGGTAAAGTCGGTCGCCAATTCCGCGGCGGTGGTTGTTCGCTCGTCCAGTCGTGTGTCGAGGTTGAGGAGGAACCGATTAGTCACCGCACGCCGTGCTGCTTCGAACTGTAATTCCCGTCGGTTGAAGTGCTTCTGTTTCGGTCTAGTCCGGACTGCACGGTTATGGGCAAGCCTACCACCGAGTTTGACGGTGGGTACTGCCATATTGTGGTCTGAGTCTGCTTTGACCGGGCGAACCGGCTGGGGGATGACGACCACGTTAGATACTCGGCCGTGATGTGCCTGCCTTGTCAGGATGCAGTCAAGGCGCTTGCAATCGTTTCCCGACACACCGTTGAATGTGTGCCATATTCCGCCCTTGCGTGTCTCAAAGAACGTGTTCGTGAGAGTTAGCCTGTTTTCCGTTGCGAAGTTCAACAGTAGCATGCCATTGTTAAGCTCATCACGCCCGTACATTCCTATTACCCTTCCGTCCCTCCGTCCAACCTATCTCCCGTCCACGCGTTGGCGTCCAGTAGGACATACATTCTTTGGAAGGGATCCTCCGCACGACACTGTCAAGTTTTCCCCAGAACACGTGCTTGCTGTCGGCGGTTGAAGGTTCGGTTGGAGCATACGCGGCTACGAAGTTGACCGCTCCACGGTGGCCTGCCAACGTTCGTCGATAAACTCCGTAGTGAATGTGGATGTCTTGCACAGTGACTCTTTGACGGCCATCCCCACACCATGGACTCCACCAGTCTCCGTGCCACAGCAGAACACCCGGAAACCCGCTGCTGCAAATTCCGTTCGACCTGCCCTCCGTGTCTCCTGCATTCCTAACACCGATACGTCTCGTCTCGCTGCCTCGTGTAGAACGCTGTAAGCTCGCCCGTATCCATTGGCCCCGTTTACAGCCAGAGTCCGCACATTCCAGGTTGCTACCCTAAGAAGTTGACCCTGCTGTCTCTTTCGCGCGGCGCGCGCTGCTCTCTTAGCTAGCCTACGTAGATTGCGGCGAGACCAATAAACCGCTGTCTGTGTCCCGTGTCCTGTGCCTCGGAAGCACGATGCACGAGGCAGGTCGTGCCCGTTTTTCTCTCTCTGCGTGTCTCTCTGTGCTTTTACTCATCAGTACCACACCGAAGTACTCGCGCGTCAAGCGAGTCCGACCCTCTGTTGAGAGGGGCCGGTATCCTATGGAGGCGGTGCCCATGAACGATGAACGAGCGAGCGTTGTAGGTGGTTTGGTCGTGGTTATGTATGTGCGGTATGTGCGGTACACGGTTTTTTCAGCGAGTTTTAGAGTAAGGGAGGGTATTAAGGGCAACCTAAGGCACCCCCCACCTCGGCAGCTCGTTCTCTGGTGTCACGATGAGTTATGAAGAGGTTGAGGTATAGGATGATAGCTTATTATATCATAGCCTACAACATGAAAAACGAAATTTGGAAAAATGTTGAGATGGCGATGAGATATACCCCTCAAAGTATACCTGATTTTCCAGATAAAAATGCGCGGAGAACGACCGTGCGGGTATTAAGGGCAGGTTCCGGTGATGGTCGATTTGCAAAGGTTCTGAAGCGTACTAAGACGTCAAATTTGGCACACATAATCTTAGTATGATAGACGTTCGATTAAAAATTAAAAATTAAAAATCGGCCCACAACCGGG